CGGCGCTGCAAAAAGTGACTTAGGACCATTTTTCACACTTATGACCATTGCCGCATCTCCATGGTCATGTGATTTACATTCGCATCCTTGACAACTGGCTCATATTTATGACGGTTGCGGTGTCCTGAGGTCACGTGATCCCCTTTTGTGACCTTCTGATAAGCAAAGTCAACGGGGAAGCCAGTTTCACTTAACAACCGTGTTACTAACTCAACAAATGCAATGATTCATTTAACAACCGTGGCAGGAAACATCATGAATGCGGCAAAATTCACTTAACAAACGTCTCACTTAGCAACATAAATTTTGGGCTAAGTTGTGGTTGTCAGTTGAGGATTACCTGTATTTGGTGTCCTCTCAAGGACACTCCAAATGGTCAACACTTTTTAACATCTTATTTGGTCCACCAAAGCTGGTTGCTAATGCTTCTCCTTAATGTTACCCTCTTTTGGAAGGGAAACTTCCTTTGAAGCCTACCCCCCAACTGGTTTTGATGTTCTCTCCCACAGAGCTTTGATGAAAGGTTGCCGATGTGTAGAACTCGATTGTTGGGATGGCCCAAATTCAGAGCCGGTCATTTACCACGGTTACACATTTACGTCCAAGATCCTCTTCAGCGATGCCATTAAAGCTATCAAGAATTATGCTTTCAAAGTAAGGGGTGATGCCTTCTCTTCTAAGCCCGAGGACATGCCAGATTTTTAAAGATTTAAATACAGAAAGGGATTAAATATTTCAAATTAGACAGTTAGAAAGTATTGTTTTGCTTCTTAAATTGATTTATGACCTATGACAGTGGTGGCGAACCTATGGTACGGTGCCAGAGGTGGCACTCAGAGCCCTCTCTGTGGGCACACGCGCCGTCGCCCCAGCCCTGGGCCTTCAGCTGGGTTTTATAAAACCTTTTCGCTTTAGGCCTCTGCCGCTGTGTACAATAAAAAAAAAGGTTCAATAAATCAATTTCAACTTCTCGTGGAAAAAAAAAAAGGTCTTGCAAAGTTGGAATTGATTAATTGAACTTTTTAGTCCCCCCAGTCTGCCGTTACCACAGCAGCCACGCCCACCCAATGGGCCACACCCACCCAATGGGCCACACCCACCTGGCACCCGACGATGCATAAGTGGGTTTTGGGTTGCAGTTTGGGCACTCGGTCTCTAAAAGGTTCGCCATCACTGACCTATGACTTGCGGTTTATATGTACACTGTGAGCTTCTGCACCAGAGATAAATTCCTTGGGTGTCCAGTCACATTTGGACAATAAAAAGCTCTTCTCTTCTCTCCTCTCCTCTCCTCTCCTCTCCTCTCCTCTCCTCTCCTCTCCTCTCCTCTGCTCTCCTCCCCTCCCCCTCCCCCCTCCCCCCCTCTCCTCTCCTCTCCTCTCCCCTCCCTGCCCCTCCCCGCCCTCCCATCCCATCCCATCCCATGCCAGCCGGGAGCCAATGTACAATTTTGTGGTGGCCATCTTGGCATTTGCCCCGGTGAACCATGTCTTGGCCCTTGCCCCGGGCCCACTCCCTTCTGCCTGAGACCCTCAGATCTATCCCACTCCTGCCCAGGCCCCCACAGGCACCTTGACACGAATGATGTAGAACTGGCCATGCCTACCCAGTAGGCCACACCTACTCCATCCACGCTCACCCAGTATGCTGCACCGACTCTGGCCACACCCACCCGCGCCCCCCCCCGGGCAACCGCAATGCTAATGCGGCCTTCAGTGAAATTGAGTTTGACACCCCTATCTTAAAGATATTCACAGGATGTAAGCTGGTCCATGTAAAGCTGCCTTTTGCAATTGACGGATGGTGAATTCGTCAATATTATGTTTAAATTCTTTGAATGTTAAAATTCTCTGCGTGCAATTAAGAACTATCGCTCCTCTAAATCAGTGTAGACTTTGGGCTTGTTTCTTTTCCACACAGGTCTCTCCGTATCCTGTCATTATATCTCTGGAGAATCACTGCAGTCTTGACCAACAGGAGATTATGGCACGCCACCTCCACTCCATTTTGCAGGACATGTTGCTGGTGGCACCAATTGATTCCAAAGCAACCATCTTACCTTCCCCAGAGGTGAGCTTTGGGTGACCTTAGTGGACTTGTATTAAAAGAGAGATAGAATCAAGATCAAGTGAAATGTTAACACCACTTGATAATGCTTTGGGTAGACCACACCTAGAATACGCATCCAGTTTTGGTTGCCACAATGTAAAAAATATGTTGAGACTCTAGAAAGAGTCCAGAGGAAAGCAACAAAGATGATTAGGGGGCTGGAGGCTAAAACATATGAGGAACGGCTGCGGGAATTGGGTATGTCTAGTTTAACAAAGAGGAGGACGAGGGGGGACATGATAGCAGTATTCCAGTATCTCAGGGGCTGCCCCAAAGAAGAGGGAGTCAAGCTATTTTCCAAAGCGCCTAAAGGAAGGACAATAAGCAACGGGTGGAAACTAATCAAGGAGAGAAGCAACCTGGAACTAAGGAGAAACTTCCTGACAGTGAGAACAATTAATCAGTGGAACAGCCTGCCTCCAGAAGCAGTAAATGCTCCAACACTGAAGTTTTTAAGAAGAGACTGGACAGCCACTTGTCCGAAATGGTGTAGGGTTTCCTGCCCGAGCAGGGGGTTGGACTAGATGACCTCCAAGGCCCTTCCAACTTTACTACTATTACTATTACTAATTAATCAGTGAAACAACTTGTTTCCAAAAGTTATGGGTGCTGCCATTTGTCTCATATTGTACGGGGTTTCCTGCCTGAGCAGGAGGTTGGATTAAAGACCTCCAAGGTCCCTTCCAACTCTTTATTCTGTATTTCTCTTTTATTATGGTTGGTTGCACAGTCAGCCAGATGTTTACATTAGATTTTGCACTTTTTCCACTTATTAAGTTCTTCCCAAGGATCTGGGCTAGCCAGATGGGGATGTTTGATGGGGTTAAAGGTATCATAGAGGCCAGCTGTTCTGCATAAATCTGCTTTTTTTCAAATGACTTATGGTGAATTTGTCAACGCCAATGACAAATTGTCATCCAGTTGTTTTGGGATTGCACCCAAGGCACCTGTGACTCTTGGTATAAAGAAGCTTCTTGGATGGGAAGTGAAATGTTTTCAAAGAAAAAGGAGAAAGTCCAGTTGTCTCTTGAAAAAAAAAAAGCAACTTTGGAATAACTATGACCTGGATGGCTGAGAATCTCCATAGACATATGGCTACCATACTACCTTTGCTTTTTTTGCCACAATTGTTCTATTTCTGTTTGTAGGTCTTTGTATTTTGTTATCTTTTCCAGTTCTTTCTCTTCTGTTTGGTTGCCTCCAGGTACTACCATGTCCACTATCCAGACTTTTTTGTCATTCTTAATGACAATTATTAAATCTGGAATGTTATATGACAGGTGCCTGTCCGTCTGAATTATTAAGAAGATTTATACGGCCACTTAACTCATGGTAACTCCAGAAATAAAACCGCAATACAAAAAGCCCCCCTCCACCCGATGACGACAATCAAACCAACTTGTCATGGTTCTGACAGATGAAACTCTTCAAAAGAACTTTGAGGCATTGTTTACCTTAAAGAATCTTTATTCAAGTAGCATAGCATCAGCACGTACATAAGCGTAGCCAAAATCTGGATTCCTTTCCCCTGAGCATATAGTATCAAAGCACAATTCCCTCCTCTAATTAACTGTCATAAATCACATTCTTCAATTAGTTTGAAATGCAGGCTTTCCCTCCAGTTTTTCAACCCGCCATTTCTTATCATCTCTTATTTCAAACAACCTTGGTTCTCACACTAGTTACAGTATTGTTATGTCTAACTCCCATACACATCCCTCCTCCTCATCTAATTCTAACTCTAAGAGTAAAACATAAAGTAAAGGAAAATGGCTGCATTTCCATATGTTGTCAAAGCAAGAACATCTGATGTTAGCAGCATTGACACAACTATTTAATGGGCTCCAGATCATTCTGGAGTTTCTAGGCCTATTGGCAGAACTACATCTTCAGGGCCTTCCCAAAGAGTATCAAAGTGGGGGCAATCTTATCTCCCAAGGGAGGAACCACCACGGAGGAGGCCCTTCTTCTTGGTCCTACCAGATGGACTTGCATTTATGACGGTTGCAGTGTTCCTGGGCCATGTGATCCACCTTTTGCGGCAGGCAAAGTAAGGTTTGCTTAAGAGCCGTGTGACTAACTCAGGGTTAGGCCACCTTGGTTCTTTTATGACTGGTGGACTTCAACTCCTAGAATTCCTGAGCCAGCCACGCTGAGGGAAAAGGGAGAGGTTTCCAAGCTGAGCCATGCTGGCTCAGGAGTTCTGGGAGTTGAAGTCCACGAGTCATAAAGCGGCCTAGGCCTAGGCCAGAGGTAGGCCACCTTGGCTCTTTTATGACTGGTGGACTTCAACTCCCAGAATTCCTGAGCCAGCTGTGCTGAGGGGAAAGGGAGCCATGCTGGCTCAGGAATTCTGGGAGTTGAAGTCCACAAGTCATAAAAGAGCCAAGGTTTCCTATCCCTGGACTAACTTAGCAATTGCAGGGATTCGCTTAACAACTGTGGCAAGAAAGGTTGTAAAATGGCGCAAAGCTCATTTAAATACCATGTCGTTCAGCAACAGAAATTTTGAGCTCAATTGTGGTTGTAAAGTTGACAGTTAATCACTTATAGTTTGCATTTTTGTTATATCTCCTAGCAATTAAAAGGGAAAATTCTTGTGAAAGGGAAGAAGTTAACTCCAGAAACGGAAGAAGTTTCAGATGAAGATGAAGCAGCTGAAATGGAAGACGAGACTGTGAAAAGTGAGGTAGAAAAGAAGAAACTGGTAAGTTTCCTGGCACATGATCTATACCAGTGGTTCTTAATCTTTTTAATGCCGTGACCCCCCAACCGGTCGTAAGTCGAGGACTACTCAACTGGTCGTAAGTCGAGGACTACTCAACTGGTGCAGCACTATTTGCAGAATAGGACTTTTGGTTGGCTCAGCAGGGCAGAGACAGCCTGGACAATTCCTATTGGCTTTTGAAAGCCAATAGAATTAGACTCTATTCAAGAGAGTCTCTTCTATTGGCTCTCAAAAGCCAATAGAATAAAAGGCAGTAGCAGAGCTAAGGAAAAGGGGGGAAAAAATGGCGGACTGCGTTGTTTGGCGATCCCCGTGAAATGGTCGTTCGACCCCAAATGCAGTCCCGACCCACAGGTTGAGAACCACTGATCTATACAGATATTCCTCGACTTACGACCATTTGTTTAGTAACTGAAGTTACAATGGCAATGGGAAAAAAATGCTAGAAACTACTGTTTATTTCCACTTTCTGGTAAAATCGCTCATTAGATATGATGTCCTTGCTTAATGACTGCTGCAAAACGTTATGAAATTAGGTGTGGGCATGTGATGACCTTCATAATGATTAACACAAAATATTACTGTAATTCTGGGCTTAATGATGGCTGTAAATTGAGAACCACCTATAAACCTGGAAAAAAGAGAGAGAGATATATAACTGGTTTAACAAGTTTCATTTGAAATGTGAAAGCCTGGTTAGACCACACCTGGAACACTGCATCCAGTTTTGGTCACCATATTATAAAAAAGATGTTGAGACTTTGGAATAAGGGCAGAGAAGAGCAGCAAAGATGGTTAGGGAACTGAAGGCTGAAACATATAAAGAAAGGTTGCAGGAATTGGGTATGTCTAGTTCAGTGTTTCTCAACCTTGACAATTTTAAGGCATGTGGACTTCAATTCCCAGAATTCCACAGCCAGCATTGCTGGCTGTGGAATTCTGGGAGTTGAAGTCCACATGCCTTAAAATTGTCAAGGTTGAGAAACACTGGTCTAGTTTAATAAAGGGAAGGATGAGGGGGGACATGATGGCAGTCTTCCAATATCTCAGGGGCTGCCCCAAAGAAGAGGGAGTCAAGCTATTCTCCAAAGCACCTGAAGGCAGGAGAAGAAACAATGGATGGAAATTCATCAAGGAGAGAAGTAACCTGGAATTAAGGAGAAACCTCCTAACAGTGAGGACAGTTAACTAGTGGAACAACTTGCCACCAGACGTTGTGGGTGCATCATCACTGAAGGTTGTTAAGAAGAGACTGGACAGCCCCTTGTCTCATATTTTTTAGGGTCTCCTGCTTGAACTAGAAGATCCTCAAGGTCCCTGCCAGCTCTATTCTGATTGATTGATTGATTGATTCATGTGGCTGCTTTAATGAGTCAGTCCTTGACCAGGCTATTTCAAAGAGGCATTTTGCATATTTCAGAGCAGCTTGTTCAAATAATCTTTAGACAGGCTTATGATGTGGCTGGTTGGTCATTATTCTCTCATTCTCTGCTAGAGCGACAAGCTAAAGCTTGCAAAGGAGCTGTCAGATACGGTAATCTACTGTAAAAGTGTCCAATTTCAAGGATTCGCTGACCCTCAGCCTCACGATGAAATGTCTTCTTTCAGTGAAGGGAGACTCCTTAAACTGGCTCAGGAGTCAGGTATGGCGCATCTTCTTAACACTTTTAGTAAGGCTTTTGTGATATAGCTGAATATACAACACTTCTGATCCAGTACTCTTTTTAAATTGATTATTCTTAGTACAGGTAGTCCTCAACTTACCGTTTACTTAGTGACTGTTTAAAGTTATGACGGACCCCAGGAAAGATACTTATGATGCAAATTGGAAGTTCCAATGGCATCCCACCCGGACACGGGGTTGCATTTTAGATGCTCGGCAACCGGCCCGCATTTATTGCAGTTTCCAGTATCCCACCATCACATGACCATGATTTACAACATTTTACTGGAAACCAGTTTCGGATTCCGGCAATAAATGTCCATTGTGGACCAATGGGTTGGCTTAACATGTATTGTACAATGTTCGCTTTATGATTGCCAGGATCTCTCTCCCTCCCTCCTTCCTTCCCTTCATTTCTCCCTCGCCTCCCCTATCTCCCCCTCCCCTCCTCCCTTCCTTCCCCTTCCCTTCCCCTCCCCTCCCATTCCTTCTCCTCTCGTCCTCTTGTCCTTCCCTCTCTCCTTCTTTCTTCCCTCTCGTTCCCCTTTCTCTTCTCCCTTTTCTTTTCTCTTCCTCTCTCCTTTCCTGCCCTATTTTGCCATTCCCTTCCTTCCCTGTCCTTTCATTATCCTTCTTTCCCCTTCCCCTTCTTCCTTCCCTTCCTTTCCCTTTCTTCATCCTTCCCTTCCCTTATTCTTCCTTTCCCTTTCCCCTTCTCCCTTCCTTTCCCTTCCCTTTCTTCATCCTTCCCTTCTCTTATTCTTCCCTTCCCTTATCCTTCCCTTTCCTCTTCTCCCATCCTGGGCCTTCCCTTTCTCCTGTACAAGGCAATTTAATAGACCTAATAGCAATTGATCCATTGATTTGACCTAGTTCAGGGATAGGCCATCTTGGCTCTTTTATGACTCGTGGACTTCAACTCCCAGAATTCCTGAGCCAGCCATGCTGAGGGGAAAGAGAGAGGTTTCCAAGCTGAGCCATGCTGGCTCAGGAATTCTGGGAGTTGAAGTCCACGAATCATAAAATGGCCTAGGCCTAGACTAGGGGTAGGCCACCTTGGCTCTTTTATGACTCATGGACTTCAACTCCCAGAATTCCTGAGCCAGCCATGCTGAGGGGAAAGAGAGAGGTTTCCAAGCTGCGCCATGCTGGCTCAGGAATTCTGGGAGTTGAAGTCCACGAATCATAAAACGGCCTAGGCCTAGACTAGGGGTAGGCCACCTTGGCTCTTTTATGACTCATGTACTTCAACTCCCAGAATTCCTGAGCCAGCTATGCTGAGGGGAAAGGGAGAGATTTCCAAGCTGAGCCGTGCTGGCTCAGGAATTCTGGGAGTTGAAGTCCACCAGTCATAAAAGAGCCAAAGTTGCCTATTCCTGATATAGGGTGCCATGCTGGTAGAGGAATTCTGGGAGTTGAAGTCCCCTCATCTTCCTAGTAACTCAGGGGTAGGCCACCTTGGCTCTTTTATGACTCGTGGACTTCAACTCCCAGAATTCCTGGGCCAGCATGGCTCAGCTTGGAAACCTCTCCCTTTCCCCTCAGCATGGCTGGCTCAGGAATTCTGGAACACGAGTCATAAAGCGGCCTAGGCCTAGTCCAGGGGTAGGCCACCTTGGCTCTTTTATGACTCATGGACTTCAACTCCCAGAATTCCTGAGCCAGCCATGCTGAGAGGAAAGGGAGAGGTTTCCAAGCTGACTCAGGAATTCTGGGAGTTGAAGTCCATGAGTCATAAAAGAGCCAAGGTGACCTACCCCTGATCTAGTTCAAATAGGAGGGTTGCAGAAAACACTGGGGGCTGTGAAAGGAAATTCCTGATTGCCCCCCAGGGACACATGAGTCTGGAAATGCTGAGAGGCAATCCTGTAGCCCTCTACAAATAAACACTCCTGGGCAGGAAATAGCGTGCAGTCTTTCAGATGTGGTCCTGACTCATAGCTGCATTTTGTATGCACCTGTTAAGCCGTCTTGTAGCTATTATGATCTGGTCTGGCATTAAATTCCATAAATTTTGGATTGCTTGGGAGAGCGATGACTCAGCAATTAAAGACATTGAGCTTGTCAGCTGGACGGATGACAGGCCAGGTTTGAGATCCGAGGGCCACATGACAGGATGAGTTCCTGTTCTTTGCCTCAGCTCCTGCCCATCTTGCAGTTCAAAAGCGTGCAAATGCAAGTAGATAAATAGGTATCACTTTGGTGGGAGAGTAAAAGTGTTCTGTGTGCCTTTGGTTTATAGCCATGCTGGCTACATGACCACGGAAATGTCTGTGGACAAGGCTGGCTCCCTTAGTTAAGCAACGGAGATGAGTACCATGCCCAAAAGTTGGACATGGCTGGACAGGAGAAACCTTTGCCTTATGGGACGTTTTTCCAAATTTCTCCATCATTTCTGACCCAAGATTGAATAGCTATATATGGGGGTGTCCTGAGAAAGGGAAATTTTTTAAAAAAGTATCTATTTCTTATTTTACACCCAGGAATCGACCTAATCCATCATAATGTCCATCACCTAAGCAGGATCTATCCAGCAGGTTGGAGGACCGACTCATCCAACTATAATCCTGTTGAGATGTGGAACATGGGTTGCCAGATAGGTAACTATGTTGAGGGTACAAGTAAGCCCTTTGGGTGGTTGAATTATTGGACTGGATCCAGAAGCAGACAATCATTTAGAAAAGCAGACTCTCAGCTCCAATTGATTGAAGCGAAAAGGACTTTTACTAAAGGTGTTGATTGCAGGAAGGTGAGGCAAGATATGAAGTTCCCAGTACAAAGAGCCAAACCCACCATTCCCCATCCCATCCCAATGTCTGGTCTGTTGCCACCCAATCCAGGATTGCTGAAATGTTGTTTAAAACTCTGGGTTGTTTAGGCTGCTGGAATTTCACACCAGGGCAAGCAGGCTTGAAGATGCCCAGCGTAAGTGATATAAACAGATCTGGTCTTCTTCACATGTCAGCTCCCCCTCATCATTTCCCACCATTAGATACACAGGTGTGGATTGCCCCAAATGCCTTCCCCCTTCCCCTTTGATGGCAGTTGATGAGATGAGATGAGATAAGATGATAAGATAAGATAAGATAAGATAAGATAACCTTTGTCATTTTTTTACTGTTGGCACGGCACACATCAAAAATGAAATTTAGTTGCCCGTCAAAGTGAAACACATACATGACACACACCTAAAACATACTATGTACAACATATGTATAGACCCACACCCCTACATACACATAACAAATAAATATTAAATGCTGTCCATCTTGAATATATAATGGAAGGAGGAAGCTTGAGAGATCACAAGGTTAATGCTGCATGGAATGAAACTATGGCTGAATCTGGATGTTCTGCTTCGGATACCATGAAGCCCCCTCCCAGAAGGTAACAAGGAAAACAGGTCGTGAAGAGGATGTGTGGTGTCCCAGATAATCTTACGGACCCTGCTCAAGCAATTCTTCTGTGCTATGTCCTGGATGGGAGGGAGGGAACTGCCAATTATCTTTTCGGCCATCCTCGTCACTCTCTGTACTGCCTTCCTGTCTGAAGCAGTGATGCTTAAAACCAGACTGTGATGCTGTATGACAGAATGTTCTCGATCGTCCCCCTGTAGAAAGTGGTAAGGATAGGAGAAAGAAGATGCCAGCAAAGTGCCAGGCCGACGATGGCGATCCTGACACAGTCGTACCTAGAACAGACCCATTGCAATCTGTGGGACTTAAATAGAGAGGCTCCAAAATTTTGGGTGGATCTATTTTAATCAAGTCAGTAACCTGGAATCAAACTCGCTGGCTACCGTGGATTTAAGGAAGGGTCTCAGCGGCATAAGTGGCAGCTGATGTTGTTGCCAAAATGATCAAAACAGCATCACGCTGTAGCCTTGCAAGCTGCTTCATTTTTATACTTACATAGTGGCCAAAATTGTGGAAACCTTTTGGAAAAAGTGTATTTTTGAGGTTTGATGGCTAATAACACCACTTTTTGTTTTAGAGTAGTACCACAAAATTATATATCAATGGAAAGATAATTTAATCAAGAATGTAATGCAACAAAATGTTCAATTATCTGTACTGAATTCTATGAAAAGTTATAGCCAAATAACCAGAAAAAGGAAGCACAACTTGCTTAGGTTGATATCAGGTAGATTTCCTTCATCCGATGGTAGCCAATGAGCATGAGTGTTTAGAGAGCCAATCAGGTGTCATCTTGCTTTGGCAATGAGCCAATCAGATCACAGTAGGATTCAGTGATTGATGTCCTGTATTGAAGCTGAGAGGAGGACATTGGTCAGTGTGTTATGTGATCACTATCAAGTTGGTTGGTTTTTTTGAGTTCTTTCATTTAGTGAGCTTGTAAAACGTAATAAAATTAAAGTAATGGCTCAAAGAGTTGACTGGTTGCCCAGAAAGCGATGTAAAATAGTATTATTAAGTGATCAAAGCTACAGTTATAAAGAAATTAGAAGAAAAATGGGTGGAAACCTTTTGGGAAAAGTGTACAGTAGAAATGCCACCTTTGGTTGTGGCATTTCTACTGTACACTTTTCCCAAAAGGTTTCCACAATTTTGGCCACTACTTTAAGTGTGACATCACCCTGTGCACAAGTAGCACTCAACTTATGAGCACAGTTGGGACCAGAATTTCCATCACCAAGCATTGTGATCATTAAATAAGACACATCCAGTTCTAGGATTTTTTTTGCCATGGTCATTAAATGAATCACACAGGCATTAAGCAAGATTTGCTTAATGCCTCTTATTGATTTTCAGTGTCGGGAAGCTGGTTCCCAACAAACAGTGATCAGGCAAATCCGAGATGCTGCAGTTGTTGTAAATTCATACCAAATTCAGTGCCCAAATTGCAATTACGTGACTGCAGGGACAGTGACAGTCATAAATGTGAGGACCAGTTATAAGTCACTCTTTTCAGCACCATCATGATGTTTCATGGCAGCTGCAGCATCTAAAGGTAATATAATCACCATTTTCAGTTGCCAGCTTCCAACCAGTAAAGTCAGGGGAAAGTAAAATTTGCATAACAACTACTTAGCAATAACAGTTGCAGTGGTTTACTTAATAACAGGTGCAACAAAGATTTAAAATCAGGAACAACTTACTGAATCACCATCTTGCTTAGGAAGGAAAATTCTGTCCTAATAGAGGTTGTAAGTTTAGGGATACCTGTATTAGTGATTTTCTCTCTCACAAGCTGTCTTTAAGGATTTAATCGCTGCTGATGCCAAAAGTGCTTTTTTTCAAAAAGGCAGCTGGATTTTTTTTTCCCTTGAAGACGTTTCACTTCTCATCCAAGAAGCTTCATCCGTTCGGAGTGAATGGTGAATCAGTCAGAACGGAAGAAGCTTCTTAGATGAGAAGGAAAATGCCTTCAAGGAAAAAACAAGAAAGTCCAGTTACCTCTTGGAAAAAGCATCTTTGGGACAAAAACTGAGAGTCTCCATAGACAATGGCTGCTAATGAACTCAGCAGGAAAAAATAAATATTATTGGAGTGAAGATGGTGATGATGAAGAAATAGAAGATGATGATGATGATAAAGAAGAGGAAGAATAGCCAAAACCACTGACTTGCCTTTGTCTTACACTTTCTCCCAGTTGCCTTGAATTTCCAGTCCAGGTCCTCCGAAATGGATATCCATCAAGGCCGATTCCAAGAAAATGGAGGCTGTGGCTATGTCCTAAAGCCAGAATTTCTTCGGGATGAGCAGTCCAAATTCAACCCCAGATCCATCACGGAGGGGCCGTGGTACTGCCCTAAAAAATTCCAGGTTAAGGTAAGAGTTGAGAAAGAAAAGCTATTTGTATAACATCACGTTGTAGAGCAGCTGTTCAGCAATAGCTGTCTGCTGAATAGGACAGATTTTGCTTTCAATATACAAAAAGGTTTGCAGAGATGTTAGGGGCACACAAAATTGTTCTTTTATATGTGAAAGGCTGACAAAGAAGAAATTTCCTGTCAGTTAGAACAATTAACCGGTGGAAAGCTTGCCATCAGAAGTTGTGAATGCTCCAACACTGGAGTTGTTCAAGAAGAGATTTGGAAAACCATTGTAAAGTGTTAGTACCAAGTGTGGTAAGGCCACATTTGGAATCTGCATCCAGTTTTGGTCACCGCGATGTAAAAAAGGTGTTGAGACTCTAGCAAGAGTGCAGAGAAGAGCAACAAAGATGATCAAAGGGACTAGAGGCTAAAGCATATAAGGAATGGCTGCTGGAATTGGGTATGTCTAGTTTAACAAAGAGAAGGATGAGGGGGGACATGATAGCAGTGTTCCAGTATCTCAGGGGCTGCCCCAAAGAAGAGGGAGTCAAGCTATTTTCCAAAGCGCCTGAAGGCAGGACAAGAAGCAACGGGTGGAAACTAATCAAGGAGAGAAGCAACCTGGAACTAAGGAGAAACTTCCTGACAGTTATAACAATTAACCAGTGGAACAACCTGCCTCCAGAAATGGTGAATGCTCCAACACTGGAAGTTTTTAAGAAGAGACTGGACAGCCATTTGTCCAAAATGGCATAGGGCAGTGATGGCGAACCTTTTAGAGACCGAGTGCCCAAACTGCAACCCAAAATCCACTTATTTATCGCCGGGTGCCAGGTGGGTGTGACCCATTGGCTGGGTGTGGCCCATTGGCTGGGTGTGGCCCATTGGCTGGGTTTGGCCCATTGGGTGGGCATGGCTGTGGTAACGGCAGACTGGGTAGGACTAAAAAGTTCAATCGATCAATTCCAACTTTGCAAGATCTTTTTTTTTTCTGTGAAAAGTTGAAATTGACTGATTGATTGAACCTTTTTTTTTTTGCACACAGCGGCGGGGGCCTAAAGCGGAAAAGTTTTATAAAACCCAGCTGAAGCCCTAGGACTGGGGCGATGGCACGCGTGCCCACAGAGAGCGCTCTGAGTGCCGCCTCTGGCACCTGTGCCACAGGTTCGCCACCACTGGTGTAGGGTTTCCTGCCTGAGTAGGGGGGTTGGACTAGATGACCTCCAAGGTCCCTTCCAACTTTACTACTATTATTATTATTACCATTTGTCTGAAATGGTATAGGGTTTCCTACCTGAGCAGGAGTTGGACTAGAAGACCTCCAGAGTCCCTTCCAACTCTGCTATTCTATTCTATTCTATTCTATTCTATTCTATTCTATTCCATTCCATTCCATTCCATCCCATCCCATCCCATCTATTTCTATTTCTATTTTCTTTTCTATTCCATTCCATTCCATTCCATTCCATCTATTCTATTCTATTCTATTCTATTCTATTCTATTCTATTCTATTCTATTCTATTCTATTCTATTCCATCCCATCCCATCCCATCCCATCCCATCTATTTCTATTTCTTTTCTTTTCTATTCCATTCCATTCCATTCCATCCCATCTATTCTATTCTATTCTATTCTATTCTATTCTATTCTATTCTATTCTATTCTATTCTATTCTATTCTACTCTACTCTACTCTACTCTATTCCATCCCATCCCATCCCATCCCACCCCATCTATTTCTATTTCTATTCCAATCCATTTCATCCCATCCCATCCCATCCCATCCCATCCCATCCCATCCCATCTATTTTTATTTCTATTTCTGTTCTGTTCTGTTCTACTCTACTCTACTCTACTCTACTCTACTCTACTCTACTCTACTCTACTCTACTCTACTCTACTCTACTCTATCCCATCCCATCCCATCCCATCCCATCTATTTCTATTTCTATTCTATTCCATTCCATTCCATTCTACATTTTGGGGTGGTCATTAAATGGTTGCTGTAGTCATTAAATGAACCCATTATTTGCTGAAAACTAGAAGAAATTGTCAGTTTTCAGCAAAACTGTCATGAAACATGATCACATGACTGCAGGACATTTGAAACAGCCATGATCTTGAGCGCTCAAAGTGTGGCTTTATGACCACAGGGGAGGATGACCATCATAACTTCAGACCCAGGTTATAAATCCCCCTTTTCAGGCAGATCATAACTTTGAAGGGTACACCTTCATCATTTGTACGTAATTCAGTTTCAAATTTTGTTTTGCGATTTTTCGACTCCAATTATCTCTAGACCTGAATTAAAGCATTCTTTTAACTGCAAATATGAAAACTACATGTCCTCAGCGTGTGACTGCAGTCGACCCCAAAATTGCTACGTGAGACAGTTGCTAAGTTTTGCTCCATTTTACGACCTTTCTTGCCACAATTGTTAAGTGAATCATTGTGGCTATTACGTTAGTAACACAGTTGTTAAGTGAATCTGGGTTCCCCTCTGATTTTGCTTGTCGGTATATCGCAAAAAAGGGAATTACATGACCCCTGGACACTGCAGCTATCATAAATATGAATCAGTTGCCAGGTATCCAAGTTTTGATCACGTGACCATTGGGGACACTGCAATGGTCGTAAGCGTGAAAAATTGTCAAAAGTCACTTTTTGGTGCCATCGTAACTTTGAACAGTCACTAAAGGAATGATTATAATTTGAGGACTAAAAACCACATCCTTCTGTAGGGAAGTGCCAAGCCTGAAAGTCTGTTCTGAGTGCAAAACATACCATTTTATACTTGAAATCTAGTTTCAAAACAACTTGTTTCATGCTCAAGATGAGCCAAAGTCAAAATGAAACATGAAGTGTTTTTTTGCACACACTTACAGAAGGATAGGAGGGGCTTAAGGACTCTGCCAAGGATTTGAGCTCTTCTCTCATTCAAATTTCCTTTCCTTGCAGATCATCTCTGGCCAACAACTGCCAAAGGTCAACAAAAGCAAAAATTCCATTGTGGACCCGAGGGTGATTGTGGAGATCCACGGTGTTCAGAGGGACAATGGGAAGAAGCAAACCAAAGTAATTGATAATAACGGTAAGAGGAATGTCCGTGGAGATCCTCGCCATCCAGGTCACGGTTGTCCCAAAGGTGCTTTGTGAAGAGGCAAGTGGACTTTCTTGTTTTTCTTTGAAGATGTTTTGCTTCTCACCCAAGAAGCTTCTTCAGCTCTGACTGGATGGTGGGGAATGGAAGTGGCCTCAACGACTCTCAGAAAGAGTACTAACAACCAGATGACTGCAAGGAATATAGGTCCTTGCCTCCTCCACCATTCAGTCAGAACTGAAGAAGCTTCTTGGATGAGAAGTGAAATATCTTCAAGGAAAAAACAAAGAAAGTCCAGTTGCCTCTTGAAAAATCACCTTGGGGACAAGAATAAAAGGAGGGAAACCAAGGATGTCTTCAGCAAGAAATCATAACTTAGGGAGTACAGATAATCCTTGACTTACGACCATAACCTATCCCAGAACTATTGTCAGAAATCACATTGGTCATTACGATTCATCCCTTAACTCAGGGGTAAGCAATCTTGGCTCTTTTATGACTGATGGACTTCAACTCCCAGAATCTCTGAGCCAGCATGGCTCAGCTTGGAAACCTCTCCCTTTCACCTCAGCATAGCTGGCTCAGGAATTCTGGGAGTTGAAGTCCACGAGTCATAAAAGAGCCAAGGTGGCCTATCATCAAATTTGCAGACGACACCAAGCTGGCAGGAATAGTCAACATCCAGAAGACAGGCTTCAGATACAGAAGGATCTGGACAGACTTGAACACTGGGCACTAACTAACAAAATGAAATTCAATGGTGAAAAAAGCAAGGTTCTACATTTAGGCAAGAAAACCAAATGCACAAGTACAGCATAGGTGGCACCATGCTCAATAGTAGTAACTGTGATAGGGACCTCGGAGTCCTAGTAGACAATCACTTAAATATGAGCCAGCAGTGTACTGCAGCTGCCAAAAAGGCCAACACAGTGCTAGGCTGCATTAACAGAGGGATAGAATCAAGATCACGTGAAGTATTAATACCACTCTTCAATGCCTTGGTAAGGCCACACCTGGAAATACTGCATCCAGTTTTGGTCACCACGATGTAAAAAAGATGTTGAGACTCTAGAAAGAGTACAGAGAAGAGCAACAAAGATGATTAGGGGACTGGAGGCTAAAACATATAAGGAACGGTTGCGAGACTTGGGTATGTCTAGTTTAACGAAGAGAAGGACACGGGGGGACATGATAGCAGTGTTCCAATATCTCAGGGGCTGCCATAAAGAAGAGGGAATTAAGCTATTCTCCAAAGCACCTGAAGGCAGGACAAGAAGCAACGGGTGGAAACTAATCAAGGAGAGAAGCAAACTAGAACTAAGGAGAAACTTCCTGACAGTTAGAACAATTAACCAGTGGAACAACTTGCCTCCAGAAGCGGTGAATGCTCCAACACTGGAAGTTTTTAATAAGAGACTTGACAGCCATTTGTCCGAAATGGTATAGAGTTTCCTGCCTGAGCAGGGGATTGGACTAGATGACCTCCAAGGTCCCTTCCAACTTTACTACTACTACTACTACTACTACTACTATTATTATTATTATTATTATTATTATTATTATTATTATTATTATTATTATTATTATTATTATCCCTGCCTTAACTGGCCCAATTTAATGACATTTTTTGAAGCAATCATCAAGTGAGCACCACAGTCATTGAGCAAATGGGTGTTATTTTATCACAAACTGGAAGTGAATGCGATGTCTGGCAAATAGTGTTGTAAATCATGGTCATGTGATCCCAGGACATTGCAAAAGACCATAAATAAGGCTGCAGTTGCCAAATGCCCAAAATGCAGTCACATGGTCATGTGGTGGAGTGGATGTTCGGAAGTTAAAAACTGGGTTGTAAATCCCATTTTCAGGGTTCATTGGATAGTTGTAAGTAACTGGTCATAAGGCAAGGCCTACCAATATTAAATCATATATTTAAGGTTAAAACTGGGGATTACTTGATTTCCATATTTTATGTATTGCTAAATGCAGCGCCCTAGTTTTTCTATTTATCTTTGTGCTCTATCTTTCTTATTAAATGGGTCATGGGAATGGTGTGCTGGTTGGGTGCAAGAACAGTGGATGACTGGATAGAGTATCGGTTGCAGCATTCCTGGGGAGAGCCAGTTTGTTCTAATGGTTAAGATACTAGGCTAGAAGTGAGAAACTATGAATTCAAATCCTGCCTTAGACATGGAAGCCACTGGGGCTTTGGCCCCATCACCAGGAGATAGAGAGTTCTAGTCCCATCTTAGGTATGAATGCCGGCTGGGTGACTGTGGGCCAATCACCAGGAGACATGAGTTCTAGTCCCACCTTAGGCATGAAAGCCGGCTGGGTGACTTTGGGCGAATCACCAGGAGACGGTGAGTTCTAGTCCCGCCTTAGGCATGAATGCCGGCTGGGTGACTTTGGGCGAATCACCAGGAGACGGTGAGTTCTAGTCCCGCCTTAGGCATAATGCCGGCTGGGTGACTTTGGGCGAATCACCAGGAGACGGTGAGTTCTAGTCCCGCCTTAGGCATGAATGCCGGCTGGGTGACTTTGGGCGAATCACCAGGAGACGGTGAGTTCTAGTCCCGCCTTAGGCATGAATGCCGGCTGGGTGACTTTGGGCGAATCACCAGGAGACGGTGAGTTCTAGTCCCGCCTTAGGCATGAATGCCGGCTGGGTGACTTTGGGCGAATCACCAGGAGACGGTGAGTTCTAGTCCCGCCTTAGGCATGAAAGCCCGGCTGGGTGACTTTTGGGCGAATCACCAGGAGACGGTGAGTTCTAGTCCCGCCTTAGGCATGAATGCCGGCTGGGTGACTTTGGGCGAATCACCAGGAGACGGTGAGTTCTAGTCCCGCCTTAGGCATGAAAGAATCACCAGGAGACGGTGAGTTCTAGGTGATGCCTTTGGGGGAATTACCAGGAGACGGTGAGTTCTAGTCCCGCCTTAGGCATGAAAGCTGGCTGGGTGACTTTGGGCCAATCAACAGGAGATGGTGAGTTCTAGTCCCGCCTTAGGCATGAAAGCCGGCTGGGTGACTTTGGGCCAATCAACAGGAGATGGTGAGTTCTAGTCCCGCCTTAGGCATGAAAGCCGGCTGGTGACTTTGGCTCAGTGACTGGGAGACAGTGAATTATAGTCCATCCTTAGGCACAAAAAACCAGATGGGTAATGTTGCGCCAATCCCTTTCTCTCTCAGTGCAACCCACCTCACAGGGAAAATAAGAGGAGAAACGTGTGTTGGATATGTTCGCCACCTTGAGTTATTTGTAAAAATAATAAATAAAATAAGTATATCAATAATGAATAAAAATGATAAAGGTGGGATAAAAAATAAATAAATACTTTGGCTCTGTTTGACTCTTGCCCAGGTTTTAAACCAGCCTGGGATGAAACGTTTGAATTTGAAATCGACATACCGCAACTCGCCCTGGTCCGTTTTATGGTAGAAGATTTTGATGCCTCAACAAAAAATGATTTTATTGGGCAATTCACGGCCCCCTTCACAAGTCTGAAGCAAGGTGAGTCTTTTTTTTCCCACCCAGGATGCCATTGTCGGTTCAAAGGGGAGACGGTTGTTTGCTAGGCCCCTTGGCATCATGCAAAAGGTTTTCAAAATATTAATGTATTTCATTTTTTAATCAAGTTTATATGGGCATCTCATCTCATGGAAAATGACTCTGGGCAATAAAACAATAAATATAAAACAATCATTACCTGAAACCGTTATATAATAATTATTAAAAACATCAATGTGTTATTTATTAATCACATTTATATGGCTGCTTGTCCTATAGAAAGTGAAAGAGGGCAGGAAACAACCACTCAATAAAACAATAAAAGCAAAACAATCATTACCTAAATTTGTTGTATAATAATTATTTAACAACCTTAATTAAAATCTCTTTCATTCATGGTTATATTAGTTTTTTTAGGGGCCTACGTTCAGCCAATATCAAATGCTAAGAAAAGCCAACCAATATTTTTATTGTAATAATCAAACTCCAATCTAAACAATTTTGTACATTAAATATCTTATAATGTGCACTTTACACATGGGTAAAGCCCCACTTACTATTGTAATCCTCGATTTAGAACAGTTCATTTAGTGACCGTTCGGAGTTACAAAGACACTGAAAAAAGTGACTTATGGCCATTTTTCACACTTATGACCATTGCAACTTCCCCATGGAAACCTGATCAAAATTCAGACACTTGGCCACTGACTCATATTTATGACGGTCATAGTGTCCCTGGTCGTGTGATCCCCTTTTGCGACCTTCTGACAAGCAAAGTCAATGGGAGAAGCCAGATTCACTTAAGAACCATTTTATTATCTTAACAACTGTAGTGATTCACTTAACATCTGTGGCAAGAAAGGTTGTAAAATGGGGAAAAACTTAACTTAACAAGCATCTCACTTAGTGTCTCACAATTTTGGGCTCAATTATAAGTAGGGGACATTTCTACTTAATGGACTCTTAGCTCTAAGAGTCTCCTTTGTCCAGTTACAGGCAGTCCTTACGATCACAACTGGATTTCTGTTGCTAAGGAGACCGTTGTTAAGAGAGTCTTGCCGAATTTTATGATCTTTTTGCTATTGTTGTTAAATGAATCATTACTGTTGTTAAATGAATCCAGCTTCCTCCTTTGACTTTGCTTGTTGGAAGCCAATTGGGAAGGTCATATATGGTGATCACAAAATTGTGAGGCTCCACAACGCTGTAAATACATGCGGTTGCTAAGGGCCCAAATTTTGATTATGTGACCAGGAAGATGCTGCAACCAAAATAAATGTTAGGCAACTTCAACTGGTCGCTAAATGAAATGGTTGTAAACTGGGTACTATTGATTTAATGGAATACAGTGTCTACAGTCCATTAAACTGGAAGTTTACTGTAGATCTTGAGGTAAATTCTTTCCTACCATGGAGGAAAGAAAAGAATTTTTAAAAATGGGAAATTAAGTGAAGGATTTTATAGTCTTTTCAATAATTTCTTCTGCCCATTTCTCCAGTTTATGGTTTCTACTTCTTCAGTTCCCAAGATTGACCAGCATTTTTTTGCCCATTGAGCAAGATTTTATCTCACTGGGCAAAATCCCAAAGGGTAAAGCTGGCTGGGAATGATGGGCATTGTAATTAAGCACCTTGGAGCATGGTGGTTATTAAGGTAGAGAGAGTTCCAGTCCTTGTTTTGGAGCCCTCTGCTGTCCAAAGAAAGGAATTGCAACAACACTGAAAAAAGTGACTTACAATCAGTCCTCATGCTTATGACTGTCGCAGCAACCCCACAGTCACATGATCAAAATTGGGCATTTGGCATTTACTACGGTTGTAATGCCCCGGGATCATGTGATCATTATTTGCCACCTTCCCAGCTAGGTTTTGCCAAGCAAAGTCAAGCAGGATTCTCTTAACAGCCACATGGTTCATTTAACAACTGCAATGATTCACTTAACATCCAGGGCAAAAAAAGCTTGTAAAATAAGGCACACATTTAACAACTTCCTTCCTTAGCAATGAAAATTCTGTTCCCATTTGTGATTGTAAGTACCTGTAATTAGTTTAAATTTCTTTTTTAAAAGTTAAAAAGTCTTTCTGTTGATTCTGGGGAACAGCTCCAGCTCTGGGAAGACTTTTTTGTTGGAATGGATCCTTCTGAATTACTCTGAGGACAATTGCTTTATAAAAGGTGTGTGTCACTTTGAGGATATAGGTCAGTGTTTCTAAACTTTGGCCACTTTAAAAATGGCTGGGGAATTCTGAGAATTGAGATTCACACATGGATGCCAAAATAGGGTGAAAAACAACTTATTAAGCCTATTAGGATGAGCAAAATACTCATTACAGAGGTAATAAATGGTAATTTTTGGATCTTCCTTTCTGAATTAAAGGTGTAGGATTATTTGCTATGGAAGGAGTCAAACCTGTTTTTCATTCTTAGCTTCTAAATTGCTCCTTGTAGCAGCCCTTTCTGCAAAGCAATTTTCAAACACAGAAAACCCAGGAATCTTGCACAATCTATTGCTGATGTTGCTATTTATTAGATCATTTTAGTTTAGATTGTCCATCTGATTTTTAGCTTTTTTTTAAATGGGCGGGCTCTAGTTTTGTAGGCCATCTAGAGTTCATTTGTATTGAGTGGCCAATAAATAATGAAGACCACGATGAAGAAGAAAAAGAATAGAACTAAGGAGAAACTTCCTGACAGTGAGAACAATTAACCAGTGGAACAACTGCCTCCAGAAGCGGTGAATGCTCCAACACTGGAAGTTTTTAAGAAGAAACTGGACAGCCATTGATCCAAAATGGTATAGGGTTACCTGCCATGCAGAGGGTTGGACTTGATGACCCCCAAGGTCCCTTCCAACTTTATTATTATTATTATTATTATTAGAAAATATTGACAGCTTCCCAATTTGGACAACCTTGATACCCAAAAAAGTGAGCTGATAGTTTAGTTTAGTGAGTAAAAGATACCAAAAAACCCAAAAATTAATGCTGCTTTTTCTCTTTCTTTCCTTCTCAAGGCTACCGCCACATTCACCTTTTGACAAAGAATGGAGATCAGTACCCATCTGCCACGCTCTTTGTGCATGTCAATATTTGGGACAATTGTTAAAAAAATGAAAAAAAAAACTTCAGGGACTGCTCAAGGAATCTCTTTTTTACATTTCCAGATAGACTTTTGGCCCCTACAGCCTGGCCAAGAAAAACTCACCCCTTCGGAGGCAGTGCGGTGGGATATCCATGTCTTAATGCCAAATGTTGAATATTTACATTGGAAAACAGCTAGAAAATATTAGTTTTTAAAAGTTATGCTTTAATTTTTATTCCTAGTTGCTTCTCTAGGGCGAGAGAAGCAATTTAGAACTCTCAGGAGCTTGTAGGAGTAGCAGTAATAAAGAGCAGATATATATTTTTAGATTTATTTTAATGCAATCTGAATTACGTATGTACGTCCCCAAATGTTATGTTTTTTTGTGTGACAGTGCAAAGGTCAGTGGGAAAAACATGTTAAATGAAGGACAATTGCTTTATAAAAGGTGGGTGTCAGAAGGAAGGAAGTGTTAGGGAAAATATGAAGGAAAACAAAGCATGTACAGTTAGTCCTTGACTTACAACCATTTGTTTAGCAATCAACATTACAACTGCACTGAAGAAGTGATTGATGTCCAGTCCTCTTACTTATGAGCACCGGAACATCCCTACCATCACAACATTTGGGTGGTTGGCAAGTGGCATGTATTTGCAGCAATTGCAACTTCTCAGGATCACAAGATCACATTTTGGGGACCTTCTCCCTAAGTCAATAGAAGCTTTGATTCACTTAACATCTGTGTTACTAACTTGACAATTGCAGTGGTTCCCTTAACAACTGTGGCAAGAAAGCTCACTAAACAAATGTCTTGCTTAGCAACATAAATTGTGAGATCAATTGTGGTTGTAAGTCGAGGACCAATTGTTACATCTGTTACCACTTACATAAGACATATGATTAAGAAGGAAGCTATGGGGTTCAATGACAGAAAAGTCTTCCCATAAATAGAAATATTTTGGTGGACATGACCAGCTGATTTTCCATAATACTAATTATGACATTTTGGATGGGAAATGAAATATGAAAAACCCTGGGGGGGGGAATCACACTTTAGATGTCTTTTGATCTTAATTTTAGTTATTCATCCTTTAATCCTGGACATTTTCTGTGTTGCATTCATTAGTTGATTTAGTCCAGCAGCTTATGGAAAGACCCAGAATTTGTCTATGGAGATTCTGTCATCCAGGTCATAATTGTCCAAAGATGCTTTTTCAAAAGGCAACTGAACATTTTTTTTATTTTTGCTTGAAAATGTTTTGCTTCTCATCCAAGAAGCTTCTTCACTTCTATTTGCCATTTGAAAAAGCATGTTTGGGATGATCCCAAAAGTCTTTTGCAATCCACGGCTATCAATTTCGATTTTGAAGAATGATGTTATTTTTTTCAAATTTTACTTCTTCCCTTTCCACACATACACCCAATGGATTTATCTGAAATATTAACCAGGTCCTCTTCAGTGGAAGTAGCAAATATTAACACACTCCACAGAAAAACCAAGTTGTGAGTATTTTTTGTTTTAAATCTGATTTTAAAAAGGATAAACTGCAAAATCTTTGAAAAAGATTTATAGAAAATTGAACATATGACTTCCCACATAAATCCTTAAACCACTGTTTTGAAACTTGGGCACTTTAAGATGGGTGGACTTCAGCTCCCAGAATTCTCCAGCCAAAAAGGTCATAATATTGGGTGTGACTTACTACTGTCTTGCTTAACAATGAAAATTCTGGTCATAAGTTGTGGACTATCTGGTATTTCAATCTATGCAATTGTTTTTCAACCTTGGGCACTTGAAAAATGAATGGACTTCAACTCCCAGAATTCTTCATGTCCACACATTTCAAGCTGCCAAGATTGAAACACTGCTCTAATTTTCCATCCATCGTATTTATTTATTTTTTTAAAAAAACTGTACAGCCATGAGGGTTTTCTAGAATAACAGAATGCCACATTTCCAACCATGGTTAGATCCTGCTCATATTGAAATAGGATTCATCACAAAGGAACCAGGAGTAAACTGGGATATTTCCAGAATTTTGATTTGATGCCTCAAAATGGATTTGATGATCTACCTTTCCTATTGTTAAAAAAACAGATACAGAATTATATTCAGGGTGTGGTTAAAAAAAAAATCAAGAGGATGGCCAGAATGTTTGAGGCCTGCATTATTGTGGCGGCCATTTTGTTTTAGTCAGCTCCACCCTGCAGTTTTAAATTCTGATCAGCTTTTAAATTCTGATCAGCTTTATCAGTCAAGAAATGCATAGTATAAAGATTTTACAACCCTGTGACTAGCGTAAATTCTCCCAGACACTCTTCTGAGATTTCACTAGCATTGCTTACCTATTTTTCCCCTTGAGTTTAAATTAGCAGCAATAAGGACTAGTAACTTGACCAATGAGAACCCCAATATAGCACATTATGTCATTTGCTGCATCAGCAAAGTGGCAATACACTTGTAGCCTGATTTTTATTTTATTTTTATAACAGCAAAAAAATACGCTTTTTTCAAAAAAACAATTCATTAGCTATATTCTCACACTATGTATTTGACTTCTGACAGTTTTGTGGTTTTGGACCTGGGGTAAACAGAAATGATAATGGGTTGAATCCGGGCTTAGTTACACTAGAGTAGAAGTGAATAGTTTACTTTAAGTATGACGGAATCCAGCTAGTGGATATTTGGTTGGTAGCCTTTTATTGGAAATGAACTGTATTTTAGTTTATACTTTGATTTACAATCTCAAAATTATTTTTGAAGTAAAATAAATCGTGAGATTATTGTCTCTGTAAATGTTCTGTACTTGCTGCAAATATATGCAGGAATTTTTTAAGGAGAATGTTTTATTTCAAATGCAATGGATCTAAGTAGAAGCTCATTTTGATTTGCAAAACCCAATGACTTAAAAAAAATTTTCTTCCAAATCACAAGATGAATATTTGGATTAACAGAGTTCTTGGCAGTGATTTGATTACTATCATGTAATGAAATCTTTAATAAAGAAAATTCTTTGAACTTCTAAAAACTAGAATTGTTCAGAAAAATTCTAGAATTTCATATCCAGGAATTTTGAGTCAATGTCCTTGCAAATGGGTATTCCAAGAAGGATTAAAAAAAAGTCAAGATGTTAACCACAACTACAACTTAATCCCTGCCTTATTATTTTATGTTTTTGTAGCTGCTACCCTGATTTTCAAGCCCTTCTGAGCTTGCTTGTACAATTTTTTTTATGAACCTCTGTTTTTATTAGAAATCTTTTTTTTAATATCTATTATCCAATCAAGCAAGAATTGCATTCTCCCTTACTTTCAGAGAAGATAGATTTGAGCTAATCCTAACTTAGAATACAAGTAGTCCTCAGTTTATGACAGTTTGGAGTTACAACGGCACTGAAAAAAGTGACTTGTAGCTTTTTCCACACTTACAACTGTTGCAGCATCCCCATGGTCACATAATTAAAATGTGGATGCTTGGCAACTGACTCATATTTATGACAGTTTGCAGTGTCCCAAGGTCTTGTGATCTTTTTGCAACCTTTTTAAAACAAGCAAGGTCAGATTCACTTAACAACCGTGTGACTGCAGTGATTCACTTAACAACTGTGGCAAAGAAAGGTTGTAAAATGGGGCAACATTCACTTAACAAATGTCTCACTTAGCAACAGAAATTTTGGACTCAGTTGTGGTCTTAAGTTGAGGACTACTTGTATTCTCTAAACTAGTGTTTGGATATCTTTCACATAAGAAATTTGATGACTGTTTTATGGCTTGTTTTCTACAGTTTTTATATCTCTGCTCTACTTCTGAAAAGCATTCAGCCTCTAAATCCAGCAGCGGATGGAAAGAACTATAAATTTTACCTGTATGATACCTTCATTTATGATATCTTTATTTTAGGAGGCCTAAAGATGATTTCAGTCAATGCGTTGCAATTACACTGGAAGTTTTTAAGAAGAGACTGGACAGCCATTTGTCCGAAATGGTGTAGGGTTTCCTGCCCGAGCAGGGGGTTGGACTAGATGACCTCCAAGGTCCCTTCCAACTTTACTATTATTATTATTATTATTATTATAACACACCATTTACATGGAAAGGGGCAAGTTACCTGCTAGATCAGTGTTACCAATTTGAAGGGATGTAGACTTCAACTCCCAGAATTCCCCAGCCTGCTGTGCTGGCTGTGGAATTCTAGGAGTTGAAGTCCACATATCTAAAAATCCAAATGTCTTAAAGTTGCTAAATAAATGGATTAAAAAAACTTGACCTGTTATTGGTCTTTTTCTGTTTTGCAATTTGGCATCAAAGGAGATTGATGTTTATTCAAAAGGTACAATTACGAATTAGGTGAAACCTGGCTCACAAACAATAACTGTGAGAGGGACCTTGGAGTCCTAGTGGACAATCACTTAAATATAAACAGTGTGTGGCAGTAGCCAAAAAAGCTAATACAATCCTTGTAAATAAACAGAGGCATAGAATCAAAATCACGTGAAGTATTAGTACCACTTTATAAAGCCTTGCTAAGGCCACACCTGGAATAATGCATCCAGTTTTGGTCACCACGTTACAAAAAAGATATTAAGGCTTTGGAAAAAGTGCAAACCAGAGCAACTAAGATGATTAAAGACCTGGAGACTAAAACATATGAAGAACAGTTGCATAATTTGGGTATGGCTAGTCTGGAGAAAAGAAGGACTAGGGGGGGACATGATAGCTGTCTTCCAATATCTAAGGGGCTGCCATAAGGAGGTGGGAGTGAAGCTAATTTTCAAAGCACTTGAAGGTCGGACAAGAAGCAACAGATGCAAACTAATCAAGGACAGAAGCAACCTGGAATTAAAGAGAAACTTTCTAACAGTGAGGATAATTAACCAGTGGAACGGCTTGCCATCAGAAGTTGTGGGTGTTACCTTTACTGACTCTCAGAGTTATATGTGGGAAACTGCTTTCCTATCTCTTTATTTGAGGAATATTGGTCACTATGTGAGATGTTGAAATACCTTGGATTATAAAATCTTGTTTGATAAACAACTTCTACTAGAAAGACTATTTATAAACACATGAAAGAGATGGATGAAGACCAGGAAAAGATTCTTTCCATGTTGAAAGCAATACATGAAACCATTATTTAAGCTTGTGATAAAATAAGACTTAACATAAAAGATCAAGATGCCAGCTTAGATACACAAACCCAAATTTTGACTACAACCAAAGAACCAACAATGCAGAAGATAACAGAAGAAGTGGGACAATCAAATATTAAGACAGAGGAATCAATTGACCAACAGCTGATGGAAAATCCAAAAAAGGAAGTGACACCACTAAAAATGGAAATAACTTTCTATATAAATCAGAAGAAATTTGAGAAAGAAGAAGAACAGATTGAATGGAAGACAAACATACCAGGGCAAGCATGGGGAATTGGAATAACAGGGAGACAACGAATACAAATAGGCTAGTCCTTCCAAACATATATAATAATAGAGGGAGATCTATTTGACAATCTAAAAGCACTGATATGGAAGCCTAGTTGGCAAAGGAAGAAAGCCAGAATAAGGCTGAAGAAAATTGTGGTTTTGACTTATTAAAGGGGATTTCATATTATTAATTAGAGGTTTAAAGAGAGAAGTTGAGATAAGGGGAATTCTGGTCATTAGATTCAAAATACTTGGAAATTAGTTGAAAATAAGGACTTTGTTTAATATTTAAAAATTAGACCCAAAAGGAAAAAAATTAATTATTATGAATATGTTTGATTTATTGATTAACCTAGGTAATATGCATAATGCTTTTGATTTATTAAAGGGGATATTGTATTATTAAGTAGATGATTTAATATGATGCGAAATAGATAACTCTTAGGAAATAGAACAAGATTATATTCAAATAGATAAAATATGTATTTTGGATATTAGATTTTGTTATGAATTGAGACAAGGGAAATCTTGGTTACCTAAGGCTTGGAAATTATAAATATCAAAGGTTAAATTGGAATATTGATGAGAAACTAAAAATTGGGTAAAAATTAATAACAGGATATGGATTGTTTATGAAGATTGAATGTAATTAAGATATGTATAAGTTAAAAAATTATGGATAAATGTAATAATGATGTTTTTATTGAGTTGATATAATAAGAACTGTACTAGCTTGAATACAAGACAGTAAATGTTAACGGAAAAAGAGAAGAAATATCTGATGAGATTTCTACTAAAGATTTTGTTATCGAATTATTGATTAACCCAGTCACATATTGCTTTTTAAATACTTAAATGTAAAATTGGAAAATTAATAAAATATTATTTTAAAAAAGAAGAAATTGTGGGTGTTTTATCACTGGAAATTTTTAAGAAAAGACTGGACAGTCACTTGTCTGAAAAGGTATGGGGTCTCCTGCTTGAGTAGGGGGCTGGACTAGAAGACCTCCAAGGTCCCTCTCAGCTCTATTCTGATTACATAATACCATTAAAAATGTTAAAAATTGAACTAAAAAAATAAAACGGGAGAAAAAGTTAAAATCCCATCCTGGCCTGCTGTAGGAATATAATTCCACCCACTCTTCAACTATTGTGACCTTCATAAAAGGCCCAGAAGTTTTTTATAACATCCATGCCCCAAAATTAAAATCATATAAATAAATTTCAAGAGCCGAGGTGGCGCAGTGGTTAGAATGCACTGCTGCAGGCTACTTCTGCTGACTGTTGCAGTTTGGCAATTTGAGTCTCATTAGCTCAAAGTTGACTCAGCCTTCCATCCTTCTAAGTAAAATGAGGTCCCAGATTGTTGGAGGCAATATCCTGACTCTGTAAACCACTTAGAGCAGTGAAGGGGTATATAAGTCTAAGTGCTATTGCTATTGCTAAACACTGTGACAAACCCTTTCTTCCTGTTGATATCAATGAAGGGGAAAATGCCAAAAAATAAAAAAAACAGCACAAAAAATGACTCTATCTTTTAGAAAAAAATACAAATAAGGCTACCAAATTACAGTCCACTATCATTTTTTCATTGTCACGATTAAAATGGAACTTTTTAGAAAAATCTGTCTTTTGGATACCTGATTTATTTTTCCTCTCATACAACTTTTCCCTTGGTCCTCACTTTCGTAGAAATCCACGTGTCTGTTATCAAATTGTCATATCTGGATACCAAAATTAGAATTATTCTTCAGTGGCTGGGATTTAAAATTTAGGTGTCATTTTCTGGACCAATGCATAATTCAGTGACTCTTACAACATTGTTTCTCAACCTTATCTTGGGTAGGCAACCTTGGCTCGTTTATGACTCGTGGACTTCAACTCCCAGAATTCCTGAGCCAGCCATGCTGAGGGGAAAGGGAGAGTTTCCAAGCTGAGCCAAGGTGGCTCAGGAATTCTGGGAGTTGAAGTCCACGAGTCATAAAAGAGCCAAGGTTGCCTACCCCTGAACTAGGAAGATGAGAGGACTTCAACTCCCAGAATTCTCCAAGCAGCATGCTAGCCAGGAAATTCTGGGAGATGCTCCATGCCAGTGATGGCGAACCTTTTGGATACCAAGTGCCCAAAAGCTGGCCTCACCCCTGCTCCAGCCCCCTGCCCGTCCCCGCTCTTCCCCCCCACCCCCTGCCCCGCCTACCCACAGGACCACTCACCGCCTCCAGGGCCTGCTGCAGATCGCCCAGGCAGCCCAGCAGCGCTATGGTGGCCACACCCTCTGCCCACACCCTGTAGCATCAACTGCATGATGGGGCATGAGGGCAGAGTCTTGTCTACGCTGCCTGGCTGCCATGTCCTTGGCTGCGCTACTCAGCATGGGCCACCGTCAAGGGTGATTCTCCTTCAGGGGAGCTACTGGAGAGGAGGGGGTCGTGGGGGGAGGCGATGCTGGGGAAACGGCACATGTGCCCACAGAGAGGGTTCCGAGTGCCGCCTCTGGCACCTGTACCATAGGTTCACCACCACTACTCCATGCATTTGCAGGTTGCTGAGGTTGAGAAATATTTTTGGAAGGTGAATTGTCCAACAGAATCCTCATGGGATCAAGTCAG